CTCTTAACTCTCTTCACCCTCTTTCCTCGCTGCCCAGGAGTTGTCATCTATAAAATGAAATGATAAGAGTTAGAACAAAATTAATATCAGATATAATATTATAATAAAAGCATACCCAGTGCTAATAAACATAACATTCATAACATTATTACTCTAAAAGCTCACCAAAAACATCAATCTAAATCACTATATCCTTCACTTGTTACACTATTATCATAATTGCCAAGTTGCAATTCATCGTCGTCGTCGTCATGAGTTCCACCAGTAGATTGTGTAAAAAGTCAACCTTGATCACAGTGCAAGGGGTTCCCGAGGCCACCAAGGTAAATTCAAAATTGTATTCTGCAATTCATAGTCAAAATGTAAATTCAAAGAGACAAAATCACCATCATCAAAACAAATAGAAAGTCTGTTGATAGTGATTGCTAGAATATGATTTGGTTGTTTCATCTCTTTTCCTTTTCTATTTCTATTTCATGTTTGAGTCCAAATAGGTTAGTAGATGACAGAAAAAAAAATGGTGACTGAATGTAGACAATTAAGCTAAAAGCACGCAACTGGAATAGAAGTGTAGGTTTAAAGAAAATTGAGTTTTAACCATTATAAGGCACAGCTATAAATCTGTTTCAAAAGGGAAAATGGAGTTGGGCTACTTTGTAATCTGCCTAGATTGAGTCAAGCCTATCATGGGTTGTGACACACGGGGGTAGTAATGACACGTTGTGTAGAAAAATATCATTTTATTTGAAAGAAACAATGTAATTGGTAAGCAGTGAACACCAGGGGATATCAAAGATAATTTAACTCGATTGCCATTAGTTAATCCTCAAACTTAATCATGAGACAGCTTAAGCTAGAATGGCATTACCCTATGACTAACTGTAGATGATGTTGAGGAAAGAGATATATGAACTCTCTGTCTCTCTGCCTTTGGGTTTACAACAAAGCTTCAAACCTTTTTTCTTTTTTTTGTATTTTTTGTATCAGAAAATATATTTATTTCATGGGAAAGTTTATAATTAAGAAAAGAAAGAAAGGAGCAAAATTATTAAATCTGAAATGGAACTTTAATAAACTTGACTATTAATTTCTCTAAGTAGAAAAACAGAGAATTAATTCAAAAAATGGTGAATGCAAAGTCTAGGGCAACAACCAATTGAATATGACAACATTATCAAATATCAAATTGAATACTTGGGATATATAAGCCAAAATCTACACCACTGTCATTGAACATAAGAGTATGAAGTACTGAAAAAAATTTGCCCAAATTCATAGAAAAGTCAAATTGTCAAAATACAAATGACAAAAGTCCTAGTCAATTGTATAATTAATTCAATCAATTGTCAAGATGAGAAATTGGTCACTAACAATATAATCAGGACAATTCATATTGGTCCCCTATTTTATCAAATCGGTGAGCTGCTGTGGAGTAGATATAGTCATTTTCTTTTTACTTTTTTCAGTTAAGATGACAGACTTGTAGTTTGGTTTTGTTGTTAATGAGATTTGTATCAAGATGATGGTGGAATATTAGTTCACCAAGTCTTTGTAACGCAAGGATGCATACAAGTGTGTTAGTTGAAATGAGATATAAAGTCATGTCTGCACTTACAGATAAGACATTCTTCAGCACATATGCAATATTTAACATCAGGTAGAGGGTTCATAACGTTGCTATAAACGAGTAACTTCACAGAAGAGATATTGTGATAATCTGCATATGGGAATCATGTGCCAGAAAAAAAAGAACCACAAAGGTAAAGAACAGTACAGGTCAGTAGGCATTACATCAAAACACATTTATCATGAAAAAAAAAATGCAGAAGCTACAACAATGCAAAGGGAGCAGGAGCTGAAAACTTACCCCTCCAATGCGAGAGGACCAAGAAGCCTTTCTACAAATGGGTATAGGGTGATTTGGAACACAAAAAGACCAAAACCTACAAGTTATTGTCAAAATAAGCTATTCTACAATTTCTCATCTAATCAAATTGTCATAATACAATTTCTCATATTTGGCCATGTTCAGATTACAAATTAAAGCATGAATCAAAACAACACAAACTAGAAAGTAAAAGAAACTTACCTCGAACAGAATGAAAACTAGCAAAATTGACCAAGAGCACTGCAACACCCAGAAGAAATTTCTATTTTACCTCAAATATATGGAAAAAGCCAACGAATAGATATCAAATAATAATCAATGATTGAACAGGGAAATAACAATCAACAATATAACAATCAATGTAGAAAGTTCTATTTACCTGTGGGTTTTTTAGAGTGGGGGTCAAGGGGATGAGAGATTACAAGTGGAAGGAGGACTTAATTAGCTGTGGTCATTATCGAGGGAATAGATTGAAATGAGAATTTGTTGGTGATTGAATGTGGGAGACAATGGGTCACCCGAAGGGGGAGATGATCGGTGCATATTTACATATCATTTTGTACCCTTCTAGCTTATGATTTGGTTATGTTTTTGAGTTAAACTTGTGCTTTTAATCCTTTTTGTGTTTATCTTTCAGTTCATTGAGCTTTAGGTAATAATGAGGGCTTTGGATAGTAAATGATGCAATCCATGCATGTTAGGGCCTAATTTGGATGAATGGATGAAGAGCTTAAAGACAAACTCAATTTTGGCTACAGTCCCCTGCCAGCCCAGTTTCGTAGGTCATATTGCAAGCTTTGTTTCAGCAACCTACATAGCTCGGATGAGGCCACATTCTTCATGAAAGTTGTTCCAATGGGTGTGTAATATAACATATCCAAAATTCAGCCCCATTGGATAAATCTGGAGTCCGTTACCTAGCAAACACAGAACCATGCCCATCTTCCTCCTTTCTCTCTCTCAAAACCCACATCCAGAGAGAGCAAGCATCATCTCTCATCTCTGGAACCCTCCGATTTCAAGCCTTGTTCTTCCATTGCTTCCCATTTTCTCTTCTGTCAAATCGCCCAAGAGCTTGATGAAGCTTTCGTCAAGCTGTTGGAAATATGCTAAAGCCACCCATGCTTTCATCTTCTTCCTCGCTCTCTCTCTCATAACACATATCCAGAGAGCAAGCTTCCCTCTCATCTTCAAAACCTAGCAATTTCGTGCACTATTCATCCTTCTTCCCCATTTTCCCTCTTGGCAGAACTGTTCCAGTACTTGACAGAACTTTCGTCAAGCTGCCGGAAACTTGCTCAAGCCACCCGTTCCTCTTCCTCATCTCTTCCTCTCTCTCCTCAACAAATCCTCCCAAAAACTCTCTCTTCCCCTTACTTCGAGCCTATGTTTCTCATAGGAAACCCAAGCCTTCTCTCTCTCATGCTAAACTCACGAATGCTCAACTCTCATGCCACAAGCTTCTCATGCCAAGCCAAGAATTTATCTGTAAGCAGCCATTATTTTCGTTGGTGAAGGTAACCAAGGTGTTTCTTAAGGCTTTACAACCCTTTCGAAATATTTTGGGGTCTGATCTTTGAACTCAGACACAAGGGGGATATTTTCTTCAGTTTTCTCCTTACGGCAGCCCAGGCCCGCAGTAGCTGCCGGAACGAAAAAAGCCCCTACAGCAAGCATAAGAATTCTCTCTCTCTCTCTCTCACCCAAAGCACGCATCTCCTCCCTGGGTTTCTCTAAACAAGGATTTTCTTATCAGGTTTTTGGTTTTTGTCTCAAATGGTGAGGAAGGCTATTTCAATCGATTCTCATACTTGCAAATTGCAATACACTAGTTAATGAGTTTTGTCAAATTGGGTCGGTAATTATTTAGAATGGGTTACGGATAATTTGGTTTGATGGGGATTAGGTGTCTTGAGAGCTAGCTGGGCGGGTGGGTGCTATTGGGCTTGTGGTATATGGTGGTTGCTAGGTGGCTGGTGGTGTTTGGGTGGTGGCTTGTTTGGTGCGGCCTGGGAAGGAAGTGATGAAGTTTTTAATGTTTTTTT